CAGGGTGCAGGGCGTAGCCGGGCATTACATAAGAAGGAGGAGAGCCCGGCGTTAGCTGGGCGATCCGACTGGTAACAATAAAATCAAAACCGAATGAAAAACTAGAATGTTAACTTTTACTGATTTATAATAGCCAGATTTTTTTTCGTCATCACCTTTAGGCAATGATCCCATGGACAGTGAACTGTAGGATTTGGATCTGTAGATCCTTCTCGAATGTCTTTGTATTCAGGCAGCTGGAACGAGTCTCATTGGCTTCTTACCATACAGCGTGATGCTGTTATCTGTTGTGTTCAATGTCGAACTGAGCATGTGGTCGATTCCGGTCTCACTCGGCTCAGCCTTTATGCCTATTCTGGCTCCGATTACCATATTCTATAAAGTTGACGCCTACCGTAGCTCTTTACGGGCGATCATTGTGAAGTTCTGTCGCCGTCATGAGGTCAATGCTACAAAAGTTGAGCAGAGACCAGCTCAAGCATGGCCTAAGTGAACGTCGATATTTTCACCGATTGATCTTTTTAAATTTCCAGCCTATTCATTCGTATGATACTGTACTTACAATGATAAAAATTGACATCATAATATACATTGCAATAAGATTTGCCAGGCTGAAAGCAAATGGCCCCTGAATCAGGTTAAACAGAAAAAATCAAGCAGTCAAAAGACATAAGTATTTGCTGCACTATTTAAATACTTACTCAAAACTCGTCTATTTTAAGAGGTACTCCTAAAAATGTACTTAGAAACACAATGAGAATCGGAGAAATTCAAAAAATACAACCGCATGTGACGTCCCTGAACGATACGAAATACCCCGTATCGGTTGTCTCGGAGTAGTTGAAGAATGAACTTTTGGAACATCTCCTTTTTTGCATCGCTAGGTTGATGGATCTGTAAGTATCAAAAATTCAAAGAAAAAAATTCAAAAAAGTCTCTGTAACAATAATCACAAGGTAATGAAAAAACAAAGTGAAAAAATAAGAATAGAATTAAAAGAAAAAACAACGGAGATTTCATCCGAAGGGAAGAATTGAGTAATATTAGGAACTCTAGTGATATTGCTACTGACAGGTACTGGTAATTCGGAGAAGATAAGAAGCCCTCGCCAGAGTTATTCAGGCCGGCCCCCTTTTTGGCCTACAGATGGCGGAAGGTGTGAAACGGCCATTACCCTCGTAATGTGAACTAATCTTTTTCAACCAACCGAGCATCTCAGCTAACAAGGCTGTTTGGCCACTACAGTAGCTCAGTGCTAAAATAATTTTGAATTTAAACAAATCAAAACAGCTTTTGTTCGATTTCAAGAAGCACCTGAGCACTGATTTACCTCCAAATTAAACTGGCACAAAGTAATCCCATTCTGATCAAGTGCTCCACCACGATAGAAGTACGGGAACATTTCGTATTCCGCTCCTTCGGCATCTATCCATATGTCATCGTATACCTGCATGCGACTCTTACAATTTCCTTCTATTACAACTGGGACAATAGTAAATCTTAAGAATCTTAAGAATAGTACCTTATGTCCAACCAGTTGCGTAAGGAAGTAAATGAGTTCAATATGGATCACGTTACGATCCACGTAGGAATCTGCAACGATCGGCGTTCTAATTGGGTAAACCTCAAAAAAGCATTGAAAAGAAAAGCATGGCTTACCATTGATAAGGACGTTGGCTTTGAAAATTTTCGATTCGCTACCCACAGCAATAGGGAAGTATGTTCCGAATTTTGAATAAAGCTCTTCGTTGATTTCTTGCATTGGATCAGCTCCGTAGAAAAGTGAATCTCTCGGCAATTCCTTAACAAAACGAATCAGACCACCTATGCATGTCAATAATCCCCATAACAGTCTCCTGAAACCTTACCTTGATCAGAGCTTTTTCAGCTGCTGTGTCTTGCCCGATACCCAAAGTAACGATTATGCTTGGCTTTTGCTGAAAATAACCGGACTGAGGCTTTTCAGAGTTATAGTTGCCGCCTCGTGACAGCGTGATAGCCCTTCTCTACACTAGTAATGGACGAGTTGTCGTGGGCGTTGGGGAAACTTGTACAAAATGATTTTCCAAAAACTTTCAGAAATAGCTCTGTAGAACATTTGCTAAAAACACTGACGTCATGGCTTCTTGGTAATAGTAACTTCCCCAGTTTTAGCAAAGTAGTTCTGCTACCTGTAGGCTGCTTTTAAAAGCCAAGCCGATTAGGCATCGGATCATGCTCATAATTTCTATGGAAATGGAGGGCAAAATGGCTAATTTGCCAAATCCGTTTAGTGCCTTTTTGGCGAATCAAATGTTTTGAAAGTGTATGAAGACTTTTACCTTAAAGTTATGTCATCACAAAAGTCTTTTAGATGATCAGAAACATTCTGAGAAACCAGTACTTATAGTGTACCTGCAAAGAAGGTATATGCCGCTTGATCTCGTCGCCGTTGTGAAAGTCCTTGATTTTCAAATCGGCCATGAAAGGTAATTTCTCGCAAAGTTGAACGGCCTTCCAGAAATTTCCCCAGAGCTTAATAGAAAATTCTCATATGTAGTTGCAATGGAAAGATCCAGATTCCTGATTCAGCTCAGTAGATTTCGTTCGTGGTCACTGGAGTCATTTTTTATTTTGATTAGAGATTATTCTCCCAGACGTTATCTTTATTTGATAGACTCATAAGTTGGCCTCCTTGTACCCGCTTGCATAACAAAATGAATTGAAATCTCTCTCAAAATGGCTGGAAGGCGCTATTTAGTCGAATCGTGCCTCAGTCGCTAAATGACTCCTGAAAAACTGACCCAATTGCATATTCTTGACGTTTGACGTAAAAATTCCTATCCTCCTATCCCTCTGCATTTTTTTTTCAAGAATTTTCCTCAGCGACAATCCCCAGCTTGTTATTGCCACAAGAGATCATTTTTTTATCCATTCCAAGTCACTTCCTTTGGAGTATTTCACGACGAACCTGTTTTGCATCCTTTTCAATCGTCGAAATGTTCTTTTCGATACATTTTTTCCATTGATAGAACTGACTTTTCACTCGTGGATCTGGTTCCTTTTGCCAAATCTAGTAAAAAAAAAACTTATTGAGATGACAAAAAGACAGTTTAACGAGGTCCTTTTGGACTGGGTAGCTAATGTTGTTTAAAATACTTTACATTTTTTACCATTCCAATTTTTTTGAAATTTCTTATAAACTCTCACTCCGATGCTCCATTATGCAAGTTTTTCCTAAAATTTTCTTTTTTGGTCCCATTCAAACCAATGTAAATAAACTTTGAAGGCAAATATCATATGGTATCAAGGGTAAATAAAACTTTATTAAACAAAAACTGACCTTATACAACCCAACATTCTACCATGTACGCAAGAATGGAACAACTTGGCTATTTGCAAAAGCAATCCGTCGAGCCGGATTCGAACCAGCGACCTAAGGATAGCTGCGACTCTACAGTCCTCCGCTCTACCAACTGAGCTATCGACGGCATGTCAGTGGCGGCCTCGAACTGATACACCACCAAACTGCTGGCCACCCGCACTTTTCGCGTTGGAAGAGAAATGCAAGGTGAATAGGGAAAACTAGAGAAAGGTGAAAATACTGCATCCAGACCCTAACTTACCTGAGGATTAATCCTATGAGTTCTTTCAATGGGATAGGAGAGGTGTATGAAGTCTGGCAGTATCCCTTTCTAACAACTAGTACTTGAATAGCTTTGAATAATTGCTGGTCTTAGTCACTGAGGAAATCCGGACCAGCTGTTTTCATGCAGATCGTGACTAGAAAGCTATGTTGATTTCAGATGAACTCCATTTTTGCAGCAGCTGACCCACATAACCTCGTGATGCCGCCGTTGTAAAGTCCGTTCTGATTGGGCCGAAGTGCGAATTCCGAGATTGCGTACGTGGGATGCTTCCGGAGTCTCTTATTCCCTTGGTATCTTCAAAGACTGAACATAATGAGATCCAGTATCACCGCATTCCATTGGAATCTCAGAGCTCATTTAAGCTTTAAATTTTTGAACCATCTGAAGTTTTTGTAAGAAGGAGTTGAACTCGACCACTTCCATTATTTTATCTCATTATTAGGACCTTCTCAAAGTGCTAAAACTCTTGATTGTCAATGACTTTACAATAATACCAGAGTTGAACCAGTTGCTATGGTTTGCGGAGAACTCGTTCAGTTCAGATGGCTAATGTGGTTTCCTTACACTTTGCCACCTCCATAAATTATTTAGTCAAAGGTGACGACTGTCCCGACCAAAGATTAACTGATTCAATGGTGAGTTTTCGGAAGAATAGTCAAGTAATAAACAGTAAATAGACTGCCTCGGCCTCTCAATTTACCGATCCATATTGTAAGCAATTTTAATTTTACTTTATTATATTATATAAATTATTCTATCATCTATGTTCATATGCTTATATAAAAGGAACTCTGCTAGTAAACCTTTCAAAATGTTCAATAATATGAAGCAATTAAAATATAAATAGGCTGAAGGTGAATTATTATTGGCTCAATGGCGATTCGTTGCTCTTTATAATAAACTATAATAAACAAACAAATAAAATGAGCAAGAGCTCGTTGTCTGACAGGTAGGCCAGTTGATCGTACAGGATGCATATCATACCAGATATTCAAAAAAACCGTCTCCTAAAGTTGGAAAGGGCATGCACCTGTGAATGTTGAGTGATTGAGCCGGACCTCAATAAAGAGAGAAGGCAAACGATTGTTACGAACAACACGAACAACAGTGGTAGCTCGGAACGACGCATTGCCCTGAAATCTGAGTAGGTACGAAGGGTGAGCAACAGAATAGTTTGGAGACAGAGGGGTTAATTTTTCCTAAGGCAACCGCCGTTTTCGGGACTAACAAAATCAGAAAAGCTTCACTCGGCTACAGCCTTGAGGATTGTTTTAAAATGTTCAAGCATTAAATGTAGGCGAAACATAGATTGGGATTGAAAGCAGCTGAGAAACTTAGCAAAACCTTCAACCATCTCATAGTACAAGCTACGAGCTCCACCCTCACTATTAATGCTGAATATTTGAATCGGATTTTGGTCCATTCTCGGCAAAAGACGTAGAAGATTCAGGGTTTCCTAAGCAGCTCTGTATAGGTCAATACCTAGCGTACTCCTTCGTAGGCTCCTACGTCTCCGAAGAGTTTAATTTATTATCTCCAAGTAGCCATGTTGCAGTTTTACGAATTCTATAAGAGAGCTTGATTTTTAACTTGCAATATGAAAGCTTCGAAGCAGGTGTTCCTGAGAAGTAAAAAGCGAAGGAATGATTGGAAGGTGGGCCAAATTTGTGGAATTCAAGCTGTGATGACCAGCTGTTCAAACATGGACAGGAATGATCTGATGCAAACATGGTCTGTCACACTTTTTATTCAAAAAAGAACCAAAAAAGGAGAGGACCATTGGTAGGCGCTCCTGTCACCCTTCCGTCTCGAGAAACACCTTCTATAAACCTCGCCGACAAACGAACCCATTTAAAAATGCCAAACACGAAAACGTACGGGGCTCTCTGCACTGTTAGCTATTAGTTCTGTTAAAATGGTTCTCCATCAGATGTAGAGGAATTCCCCCAAATAGTCTTAAAAAGTGAGTCTTCATTGATTTCTAGCAAGATAGATACTTCCCCAGCACGTCCATGGTTTTCCTTTTTAGAATTGCAAACCTGATGTCTGTGCAAAACATCGATATTGAAAGATGAGGCTCTTTTAGGTGTCGTTTCTGCGCTTGAGCTTACCTGAAATGAGGCACCTGCAGGGGATTAGAGATACCCATTCTCATCATTCCCGTAATAGACCTCTTTTAGGTACCACTTATGGGGTGCTAAATCACTGGACGGATCTGAGATCTTACCTTTTCCAAGCTTTTCTCTCACATTCGCCACTATCAATGAAACACAAATGTTGTTTTTCATTTCGGCAATCCTGCCAAATGAGCCAACAATTTCAGTAGGCTTCAATTTATACTAGCAGAAAATATTTTTCCGTAAGAGATCTATTAAGGATTGAGCTTTATTACTCTGCAGTAACTGCTCTAAAATAAAAAATTAAACCGAAAATGAATCAACTAAAAATCAATGTTGGACGAAGTCAAACAAGTAACCAGGGTAACGTTTGGAGATTATTGGGAGTTTGTGGAGAAATTATGTCAAATGTCATTCTAATTAAATTGTTGCAAAGCATGCCTGAAAGATGACAAGTGATGATAACAATCACAATATTCATTAGTTGGCATGACGCGTTTCCCATTGAGAGGTCAGTAGCCCTCTAGGGGAGAGGCTATGCTGTGATCCTGGTGAACTCAGAGCACTTCCACTAAAATGGCGAGATGTGAGCAGGATCCTCAGCATCAGAAATCCGTACTAATGCTTTCGGGGCACAAGATAAACAGTCAACGTCAAATCGTAGGCAAGTGTAGCACGTTGATGGCCGATCAGTGATGGTTCGGATTTCTTGAACTATGCACAAATCCATTTAGCAGCTATTTCCCATATTTCTATCATTCATTCATGGATCATTTTTCGACTAGGCTGAATTTAAAAGGAGGTATAGAGCCCCAGGGAAGCATAATGACACATTCGACCGGCTAATTTTGGCTACTCCAATTCTGAGAACAAGCCCACTGATTTTACTCTCCCAAGCGAGTTTTTTGCACCGAAACTGGGCACTAAGAAAGTGACTTCTACGAATGGGCTGTCTCTTAGAAGGTTCGCTTTTTCAACTTCTCAACAATCCAAGCAAAGAGAATTTACACAACGCTTGTCCACAATCCGTTTATTTGTACCAGTCGTCATAACTGCTTCCCTAACACCTTTACTATTTTGTATAAAACAACGAAAACAAAGTATTTGAGGTATACATACATTTGTGCGTAGCACCTGCACTGATCGTCAATTCTATCTTGACAAATATGGTTGAGGGAGTTTGCAAGACTGTTGTCCGCATGCTTTCTGCCAATCGTCGATAGCAAACTTTCCCACCAAAGCTTCAAACTTCTTGAACGGAATCCAACCGGACTTGTTAGAGATTTTTTCCAGGTCCGGGGTGTACGATGCCTGTAACCTTAAGAATATACTGTTGCGAAGTGCCTCAAGATTCTTGACCTCACCCTATAGATAATATGCTTATCGATCGGATCTGGGTCATGATCGAGGATGCGGATGCTTGGTTCGGGCTTCATTCTGTAGTAGCAGGAAGTAATGAGTAACAGTACATGACAGTAAATCAAATGGCGTACTTGAATTCAATGACAAAGCCGGCTGATGTCGTCAATTCCTTCTTCTCCACTCCCAGTAGCTTCATCACTGACAGTGTGACTTCGGTATGCTGCAATGGAGTTTCTTGAGACTGCTAAGTCTGAAACGTGTGAGCTATTCGAAATGGTGGCTTTTTTCTCCCACCTCTCTTTCTTTGTCCAGAATTCGGTGTCTTCCCCCTCTCACTGCTTTGCCTCAACTGTGTGGACCCCTCTGCTGCGAGGGGTACTCGCCCTGGGCCAAAAAATTGGATCCC